TCAAGAAAGAACAATCTTGCAAGTTCGCCTTCCTGTTTAGCTCAAGTATTCAAACGTTCATTTCTTGATGAAACTTACAGTTATGGTGATCTTAATTTGGCTTTTTGTTTAGAACTTCAAGAGCATTGATAGAGAAAGATCGAGAGTATACTGTTTTATTAAAAGATGTCTCAGCATTGAAGACGGATGTAAAGGCAAGAGAAGCAGAGATGAAAGGTTTGTTGCATTTTCAACTGTCGTTTAATATGTGTGTGCGCTCAGTATATCCATTTTAGCATTAACTGAAAAGTTGGAAGAGACAACTGAAGCGCTTCGTAGAACTGAAGGAGAAGGGGAAGCAGCATTAGAGTCTTTGAAAAATCAGGTAATCATTGATTGTTTTTATGCCTTGTTTCTTTTTTCTGTTTTTAAGGAATAAAAGAATAAATTAAGTTTCTCAGTAAAAAGTGAACTCTGCCTCTTCCAGAAAATAGTATTTTTGAAGTTGCAGTTTAACTGTGCTTGACTAAATTTTGTAGCTTGCTGAAAAGGACCAAGAACTGGATAGGCTTGCAACTGAATTGTCGAAGGTTACGAAGTTTAAGGATCAAATGATGCGTATGATGAATGAGATATAATCCCTCACCAATCATATTTTCCTCTGTAGAGTAAGCCTTGTTTGTTATATCACGGCAGGATTTATGTTCACGCGAATAGAGGAACTTTAGTTTTGCTCTGCTGGGTTGTTTGAACATATCAGTCGTCTTTCAGTTTTGAGTCACGTTTTATTTTTTTATGACCTCATTTGTCAAGGGCAGAATTCTGCAACTTTTGTCAACCCACTCACATTTTCTTGCTTTAAGAAGTAAGCGGTGTGAAACGCAATGGAGTTTCCAGAACAAGTTAACTTGACTTTTCTGCTCAAAAAGTCTTCCTCTTAAATTAAGATATCTATAATATAGTTTCTTCTCAAATAATTCAAAGTACAAATTCCTTTTTTGATGTCTTAATACTTGTACAAAACTTCACTTGCATTTGGCTAATCCCTAGGTTCTATTGTGATCGTTTGAGCAGCCTTTAAAAATGTATTTTATTTTTATTGGATTTTTTTATTTGTTTTTGACTCTAATTGCGCACTCAAATGTAACAAAAATAATCTGATTTACCTACTCGTAATCTAATTTTCACTTAATAACGTTTCTTTTGATGCAATTATTCTAATCAAACTGCTTCATTAGGATTGTGTCACCCACTCATTCGCTTTAAGGATCGTCTTGTTACAATTCATTTACCTCAAGCTTTCTTTATATTATTTTTATTCTAGTTCCTCTGAGATTGGTTTTTTATTTGTAATATTTGACATTTGTTGCATTATTCCGGACTCGTATATGGGCATGAAGATTTTAAAATGTTTGAGCTTGAAGCGGAAGGCTTTAAATTCTGAATTTTATTTTTAGACTGAAGCATTGTTTAGATATTTTCGTCTAGTTTGCTTGGCAAACCAATTTTCTCTAAGGTCTGTTAGCTGTCACTGAGCTTCTTCAATTTATGAAATCTTTGTTTCAAGACCGCAAACTTTAAACAATAAATATAGGGGATTTAACAAGGCGATTTGTATATTTACTGTTTGGAACAATGCAATCACAAACTGTGTTATAAACTTATATTACGGTTTGAGCAATGTGACATGTTTTATGTATATTTTTATGCTATTTCTTCGTCGATTTGGAACTGTTCTGAAAAGAAGGTTTAGCGAATGGTGTTATATGACGTTTTTTCTTGCTTCAGGATAAGCGTACGCAATTTGTACCGAGTTTAACTTTAATGGCTCACAATTTTTGCTGGGCAGTTGAAACTACGGTAGATTTGATGCGGGTGTTATTTTGTTCTCGTTATGTGGTTAGCATAAATTGATTTTATTTGGATTTGCTGACGTTTACAGACTTTGAGTATCGAGGCAGTATGGAGATCCAACTGTTAAAAACAATTTTGATCTGCCCAGTTCATCCTCATTTTTCATTCTGTGTTATCAATTTTCACTCAATACACTGGGATTTGTGTCTTGGTTGATGCCAGGACCTTTTAATTGAAGTAGCACCTGCAGGTGGCACACGCTCTGTTTTTTGTTTCCGCACAATACTGGTATGATCTGGAAGTTCTGGTGAATGAGAGCCTGGGGGGGTTGGTAGTGCGTGGGTCGTAACAGCTGGTCTCAGCTTCTTTCACGTCGGCACATCCGGTGGACTCACTGGCTGTGGGTTGTTGATGGCATTTTGCTTGTTAAAATGGTAGCTAACATTTGCTTGCAACATATTTAAATGTGTTTGTTTTTGCAGGAAGTCGGCTGGTCGTTTGCGACAAAGGCTTGAATTGGTAATGGAAGTACCAGTTATTGGTGTTGTTAATTTGCAGTAGTTTTAAATGTCGTCTAGTTCACCGTTTTAGCCGGGCTTAGGAGATGTATCTACAGAGTCGCTCAAAATCTTTCAATACATTGAAGACCACTACTTGCCTTCTTATTGCTGAATCAGTATTGAAACATTTCAGACTTGCTTCACACTTCTAGTTTTGAGGCTAGACCAGAGAACAATAGCTTTTGAAAGGCAATTGTTAAATTTAAAGATAGAAAGTTATTAAAGGAAGCAGAAACAAACAGTGTTTTACGAATCCTAATCATAAATGTCATACATTTTCGTATTAGAAACATGGCGTTTTGATCTTTTTTTGCTGACTACCTATTCCCTGTTTTTCTTTGCTGCTGGTATCTTAGCTGTTAAAGTGGGTGACAGAACACGGCAAAATTAAAAAGCCGTTAGTGGTCTATTCAGCCAGAAGTAAATAGTATTCACGGTTTATAAAGCTTTTGTCTTCGTTCAAAAAAACGAAGAATGCTGAAAGTCATTGTATTTTAGGTTAGACTTATTGAAAATTCACTTGTTTTTTCTAATTCCCTTTCAAATTTTAAGTTTTTCAACAGCTTGTTACATAAAACTTAGCAACAATTTCTGTAAACATTAATGTTGCTCAATACACAGTCTTTGATATAATCTTTTGAAAATCTCTTCTTACTAGCAGGTTGAATAATTTTGCTGTTGGTGTCCCCAACAGTTATTTATCTTTAAACAGTAATTTCTTTTTTATAATTCAGGTATTTGATTTTATATATGGTAGTATATATTACATATATCTCAAAATTTTTGAACTTTTGCTGATTCAGTACACTCTAGGGTAGTGTAGAAAAAGCCGAAAAAAAAACCTGGAAAAGTGAATTCGCCGCCAAGTTACACAACCTCAAGGCTGCAAGCTTTGCCAGGTTGCCAGTTGACATGCCTGTCATTGCAGACTTGTAATTTAGGTCGTTTTAAACTGCCACGTCCTGAACTTTTGAACGCACATCTATTTTTTAATTCTGTTAAAAATTAAAAAAAAAGAGTAAAAAAACGCACGAAATATACCTTCTTTAAAAAACTTAAAACTTTGTTTTTTTTTTTTT